TTGAGAGAGAAACATCGACCAGCTGCCTGCTGCACACGGCTTACTGGGGATGTGCCCACAACCAACACACGTGCCCTTGACCGGAATCGAACCTGGGACCTTTCAGTCCGCAGACCGACGCTCTACCACTGAGCCAAACCAGTTTCGGCACTTTGCTGTTTTTTTTTAAAAGAAGTTAATGTTTAGCTGCCAGCCCGGGTGACGGACGGCGTGCATTTTTCTGAGTCATGAGAGAGCGCCTTTCAAGGCGGCCATTATCTGCTCAGGCTGCTAATCCCGGGGGGACAGGGGGCGGGCCTGGCAGGCGGGGAAGGGGGGGTGGTTAGGACAGAGCTGTCAGCCCCATGGGAGGGGCGATGTTTCCAGCGCAGATACCTGCCCCTGCTAATCCCCAGATTTCCTGCTCTTAAAAGGGCCTGTGCTCCCGGGTCTGCCCCCTGCCCGGCCAGCCAGAGGCAAACGAGCTGCCCCCCCCCACCGGGTGTCACCAGTGAGGCCAGGGAGGGGTATCAAACGGGACATCAAACATCATTTGAACCTGAGCATATCTAAAGGGCCCAAGATGGCCGAAGCCGGTGTGGCTCAGTGGTAGAGCGTTAGTCTGCGGACTGAAAGGTTCCAGGTTCGATTCCGGTCAAGAGCATGTACATTGGTTGCAGGCACATCCCTGGTGGGGGGTGTGCAGGAGGCGGCTGGTCAATGTTTCTCTCATTGACGTTTCTAGCTCTCTATCCCTCTCCCTTCCTCCCTGTAAAAAATCAATAAAATATTTAAAATAAAATAAAAATAAAAAAATTAATAAAGGGCCCAAGATGTTGGGATATTTTAGTTTATATTTTTAAATCGTCCCCTGAGGATGTTTTTTCATTGATTTCAGAGAGAGTGGAAGAGAGAGGGAAAGACAGGGAGAAACATCCATGTGAGAGAGACACATCGATGGGTTGCCTCCTGCACAAGTCCCCACTAGGGCCCGGGCTGGGGAAGGGCCTGCAACCGAGGTGCGTGCCCTCGACCGGCATCGGACCGGGACCCTTCTGTCCGCAGGCCGACGCTCTATCCACTGAGCCAAATCGGCTGGGGCCAAAAACATGGTTAATGTTTTATTACCAAAACACTGCACAGGGCCATTCAGCTGGTCAAACTGTCCCTTTTACAGTGTTTTGGTAATAAAACATTGTAAAAGGGACAGTTTGACCAGCTGAATGGCCCTGTGCAGTGTGACCCTGTTACTATGCAGACAGGGGGAGGCTCAGGGCGGTGTTTAAGATCGTCCAGATATCCTGCCCACAAGGGAAAGCCCATCTTCCCTGGTGGCGGAGGCCACAGCATCCTTCCATCCCTACGTCCCCGACAAGCCCCGGCTCCCTCGGACCCCGGTCCAGACACCGCCCCGCACCAGGGTGACCTGTCACTCACTCCCCCGTGGGCTCCCCGTGGGGCTGGGACGGACGAAGCCAGAGTGGGCGGCGCCCGTGTCCATGTCCGAGGATTGCATCAGATGGACACAAACAGGTCCTGTGTGCCTCCCGCTCTCCTCCCCCCGGCTTCACCCCGGACCCCGTAAATCTCACTGGAAAGACGAAGTCAGGCTGCCTGTGAGCTCCTGAGCATGTCATGGCCCCGTGGAAGCTGAGACAGGGGCACCCGGCTGCTCGCCCTGAGGAATGGGGCGCGGCCTGGCGGGGACGAGCTGGCGGGAGGGCGGCCGGAGCGCTGTCCGCTGGGGCGTTCTCCTGCCCACACGTCTGACTCGCTCAGGAAAGACTGACAGGCTGTTTGTGTGCAAGCCGGGCTCCTGCCCTCCCCATGAGCACAGAGCTTCTCGCTTGTTTCTAGAAGCTTCCGTCACCTCTCTGCTGAGGACTGTGGCCCCTCTTCCCCTTCACCCCAGATTTACAGACGAGGTCATGTTCTAAAACTGTGCTAGAGCAATAAAAAAATAACCACTAGAGGGAGGGGGGGGGGGGGAGAGAGAGAGAGAGAGAGAGAGAGAGAGAGAGAGAGAGAGAGGAGAACAAGGCAGACACTAGCTCTCCCTGCTGGAATAATAGGCTTGAAATATGAGGAAGTTGACCAAGGGCCCAGGCCATCCACAAACAGATTAATTCTCCACCCCCTTCACACACACACACACACACACACACACACACACAGCCTCCTCCCAGAGCCGGCTCTGCTCCTTCACGCTCCCTATAGGCCTGGAAACACGAGGGCACAGCCACCTGCCGCCCCGGGCCTGGCGTCATTCTGTGTGTTGACTTGAGGACTCACACATTTTAAACCCTTCCTTCGGGCTTCAGCTCTGGTGTGCTGCCGTCTTTGGGGTTTGCTAACATGAAGACTGCCGTCTGGCCTTGTCGTTTCGTGAACAATTCTGAGAGAGAGGACCACCCCCGGCGCCATCCTGAATGCACAGTGTTGGTTCTCAGGGGGGAGGGGAGCTGCCCCTCCCCCCTGCCCCCAGGACAGGGACAGTGTCTGGGGATGTGGGTTGTCACAATTCTGGGAGCAGGGGCACGGCTGGCGTCTGGTGGGCAAAGGCTAAGGGCGCTGCCAGGCATCCCTCAGGCGGGCTCAGGACCGCCTTCACAGCCCCACACAGACGGTCTGGCCCCACACAGGGCCACTCCTGAGAAACTCTGGCACAGGGGCCCTGCCTGGCACCCAGGCCCCCCGCAGCCCCCACAGCAGCCGTGGGTGAGAGGATGCAGAGGGAGCCAGGAAGGGCAGGCGAAGCCGGACCCTGAAACCGGAAGGCATCATTCTAGCAGGATGGGTTTTATAGACAAAGCTTTGCCGTTCCTGGTGAAATGTCAGCCTGGGGGAACGGAGTCGCTAAATCCAGGTCCGGCAGCCACGTGCAAAGGGGTGCTTCTCCTTTGTCCGCGTCCCGCACGGAGACGGAGGACAGCTCCTGAGCGGAGGAGCTGGGGTTAAGAAATAAAAGAAAGAAAGAGACAAGAGGCAGACATAGATCCAAAAGCTGGGAGCCGGGTGGAGGCTGTCACTCTGATGGAGGGACAGTCACACCCACCACAGACAGCACAGCGCGTCTATGAATTTCCAGAGGGGGTAAAGGTCCAAGGAGTTTTGGGGGTGCCCAGGTCCTAGTCATTCCTGCATTCCTGGGATTTAGCATATCCAGACCTGGGTAAGTCAAGGTCCTATTCGTTCCTCATTCCAAGCACGTGGATAAAGATAAGAAATCAGTACTGATAACAGTCTCCCACATTTTGGGAGGCTGTTTGGGGGGGTGGGGGCGGAACGGCCATGCCAGTCACCTCGGACTCAGCTGACATTAATTTAAGGGTCATCCATGTGCCTTCCCAAGGGGCCCTCTACAGCCATGGGTGGTAACAAACCCGTGGGCACCTGACGGTGACGCCAGGTGAGACCGGCTGGACGCTGTCTGAGAGCCGCATGGGGAGGACGGTGGTGCTGGGCTCACTCCACTCACTCCGATGGCATGCATGCATTGACTCACAGGAAGTCGCCCATTTTGAGCTGCTTGAGGCCTAACAAAATGGCAGTGTCCCATGATTCAGCCTAAATGCTATGCCTAATGCATTGTAATGTTATCACACACTGGTATTGTCACGATACTGTATCATATTAATCATGACATCGTCTATTGATATGAATTCATTAACGCATCCATTATATTTCTAATTATTATGTAGTGTTACATTGTGTTATCAATTATAATTATATTAATGTCAGAGACTAAACTTACGTTAATATGGGTGCATTAGTATATTGACTATCTAGAAGACTGGCCGACTTTTTTTCTGTAAAGAGCCGGAAACTAAATATTTTAGTATTTCAGGTCCCTGCGGTCTAAGTCATGACCCTCAGCTCTGCAGAGGTCGTTCGACAGCAGGCAGAGACAGACATAAAGGAATGAGGCTGATGCCAATAAAACTCTATGCACTGACCCTGAAATTTGAATCTCTCATAAATTTCATTACAGGAAACAGTCTTCTTTTGATGTTTTTTCCAACCACTTAAAAATATAATAATACTCATCTTAGCTTGCGGGACACGAGAATGACATTGCCGGGTTTGACCCCTGGGCTGCAGCTTGCCAGCCCCAGGATTATGCCAGTTATTACATCTGTACTGCACACATCCTGTATCATGTCTATACTCTACATGTTATATTATATCTCTATTGTTATACTACTTGATAGCATATTATATAAACATTCCCTGTTTCCCCGAAAATAAGACAGTGTCTTATATTAATTTTTTCTCCCAAAGTTGCGCTAGGTCTTATTTTCAGGGGATGTCTTATCTTTCCATACGCTGGGTTTTATTTTTGGAGGATGTCTTATTTTGGGGGAAACACGGTATTATATTACTTGGCAGCATATATCCTCATCTTTTACTATATATTGATATTATCACAGTAGAGGCCCAGTGCACGAAATTCGTGCACTCGGGAAAGGGGTCCTTCAGCCACGCTTGCACCCTCTCGCAGTCTGAGAGCCCTTGGGGGATGTCTGACTGACGGCTTAGGCTTGTGGGAAGTAGGCCTAAGCCGTCAGTCGGACATCCTTAGTGCTGCTGCAGTGGTGGAAGAGGCCCCTGCCCTTGCCGCTGAGCAAACCAGTTGTGAGCCTGGCTTCTGGCTGAGCAGCACTCCCTCTGTGGGAGCACACTGACCACCAGGGGGCAGCTCCTGCATTGAACATCTGCCCCCTGGTGGTCAGTGTGCATCATAGCAACTGGTCATAATGCCTTTTGGTCGATTTGCATATTAGCCTTTTATTATGTAAGACTATCTCCCAGCTGCCTGAGTAGCAGCATTCTGGGTTATCCTCTGACTTCCCGGGCAGTGGCATTCTGGGAGGTCCCCCACCTCCCTGGACAGCGGCATTCTGGGTAGCCCCCCATCCGTGGGCAGCGGCATTCTGGGTAATGGTCTTACGGGTGGGCTGGCAGCCAGGGCAGGGCCTCCTGAGCTCCCCTCTCACCAGGCCATGCTTTCCCGCCCGCAGCGGCCCCGGAGCTGACGGCCTTCGGCGACCCACGCCAGTTCCCGGCGCTGCCCTCCATCTCGGACCCGCGCATGCACTACCCGGGCGCCTTCACCTACTCGCCCACGCCCGTCACCTCGGGCATCGGCATCGGCATGTCGGCCATGGGCTCGGCCTCGCGCTACCACACGTACCTGCCGCCGCCCTACCCCGGCTCCTCGCAGGCGCAGGGCGGCCCGTTCCCCGCCGGCTCGCCGTCCTACCACCTGTACTACGGCGCCTCGGCCAGCTCCTACCAGTTCTCCGTGGTGGGCGAGCGCTCGCCGCCCCGCATCCTGCCGCCCTGCACCAATGCGTCCACGGGCGCCGCGCTGCTCAACCCCAGCCTGCCCACGCCCAGCGACGCGGGCGAGGCCGAGGGCAGCCACAGCAGCTCGCCCACCGTGCCCACCGCGCGCCTGGAGGAGGCCGTGTGGCGGCCCTACTGAGCCGGCGGGGCCCCAGCTGGACCGGCTGGAACGTGCCCCTGGCACCAGCTGGACCGGCCGGGCCCCCAAGCCCTGGCACCAGCTGGACGGGCCAGGGCCCCAGCGCCTCCAGCTGGACCAGCTGGACCCCCGCCCCTGGCACCAGCTGGACCTGCCAGGACCCTGCGCTTCTGGCACCAGCTGGACCGGCCAGGGCCGCTATTGCACCATCAGAGCCCACCGTCTGCAGAGCGTGACCGGCTGGCCACGTGGGCCGCTGGGAGGCACACAGGAAGATTCCAGAGGAAAACTGTGAATGCTTCTGAATTAGCAATGCTGTGAATAAAAGAAAGGTTTTATACCCTGACTTCACTTTTTAACCAAGTTGTTTATTCCAAAGAGGACGGAATTCTGGTTCAGGGTTGGGGGATGCGACTCCTCCTGTCTGGCATCGAGTTTGTATTTTCACCTTCTTTTCCAGCACCTTATAAATTGCAAAATGCGTGTTTGCATTTGGGGTGGTTTTATTTTTATATATATCTATATAAATTGGAGCTTGCTTCTTTCTTACTATGACAATTGAAAAAAAAATATGATTCCTTTTCTTGTAAGGTTTATTTAACTTTTCTTTTGGACTTTTGTGTAATTGTGGTTTGTTTTTTCTTAAAGAAACAGCCACAGCTTTGGGTCATTTTCAACTACTGTATTCCCACGCGGAATCCCTAGATATTTATGTATCTTGATGTGCAGACAGTTACTTATGTGTTGATACTTTTTTATTATTTAAATGTACTTATATTAAGAAGAAAAATATCAAGTACTACATTCTCTCCTTTATTTTTAAATAGTAGCCAAAGTTAAATGTGTCACATGGAAGAAGGCTGGGAAAAAAGGATGGGTAATGTGATCACGCGGTTACCTACATATTGTTTACATTAAACTTCCTTTCATGTTAACCAGACGAGCTGGTAGCTGATGCAGCCATGTTCTGATAGCCTTTCCAGAGCCTGAGGGTCAGTCCCAGGGCCGGAGGCAGGCCCCGCGGAGTCTCTGCGATCCGACCCCAGCCCTGCACGCAGAGAAGGCCGCGCCTGGCCGCAGAGGGCTCAGTGGGAGCCGGCGAGGACTCGCTGCCGGCCAGGGATCAGCGCACTGCTGCCTCTCGGGAGTTCCAGAACAAACCCAAAGCCAGCCACGTGGAGGAGCAGCAGCCACTCGGGAACCAAACCCGGGAATTCAGGGGCTCCTCCGGGGCTGGGTTCTGGGGGAGGAAGGGGATCTCCCGAATCCAGAATGCAGTGGCGTTTAGCTTTAAGAAAATGCTCCTCTCTTGCAGTGCCTGCTCCTTTACGCAGAATGAGATGTGTGGCTGTCCCCCGAGGCCCGGGTGGAGGGGACTGGGCTGGTGCCTTTGCCCACGGAGGGTCTCGGCCAGGATGGGCCCAGCCACGGGCCTGCGGGAGCCAGCCCCCCTCTGCCTCTGGGGTCCCCTGGGGCAGCACCAGGGCCCCCTGCGCAGGACCCCACCCACCCCGTGCTGCTCACTCACCACCCACCTTCCTGTCGCTGTCCCCAGGCTGAGACCCTCCCCTCGGGGGAGGGAGGGTGCACTTTGACCTGCGCGTCATGTGACCAGAAAGACCCATGTCAGCACGGCTGCCCATGGCGACAAGGCCAGCATAGCCAAGGTCCCTGTACCTGGGTGGCACTGTTGTAACTGGAGGATTTGGCCAGAGCGCATGGATCCTGCAGCTCCTATAGACTGACCGCTGGCTTCCGCCTGTGTGCGCTCAGAGTGGCCGGGGCCATGCAGTGTACCCCTCCAGCCCGCGGGACGGCTTCAGGTCCGCCCGGAGGAGCCTGTGAGAGCAGGACTTGAGAACGGAGGTTTTTATTCTGTACATGTCAGGGTTCGCGTTAGGAAGATCTTCGGCTGCAGGCAGCAGAGACAGCTGGGTTTATTTAAGACAACTTGTTTTTTGAGTTTTCCTCTCTGTCCAGGGGTGGGGGACGTGGGTTTACAGTTGTGAGTGTGCAGAACACAGAGTTTATTCTTGTATTGTTATTTATTCGTTATTGTATTATTTGCCGCGCGCGCACTGTGCCCCCGACTGTTGCCCGCCCTGGATATGCTGTTTTACGCAAGCGCAGTAGCACTTTGGGGAGAGGGGAGGGAGGCAGGGTGTCGTGTGAGGTCAAGGTCATCTAGGAAAGAGCTGAGGCAGAGCTCGGGGAGACCCAGGCCAGGGCCATTCTCATCTTAGACATAGTTCTCTCTCCGGCATTCATTTTCCTGTTTTAGTCTACATTGCTCTTTTATTTTCTTTCCTTTCCTTTTCTTTTTGGCAGGAAAACTACCTGTCAGTGGATTTAAAATGTTCGTTTCTGAAAAGAGCCTTTAGCGGCCAAGTGAGCCCGTTTACCCCACGTTGAATTTAAATGCTCTTTCTGGCACCTGCCAGGACCACATCTATCTGACAAGATGCTGGGGGAATGAAGGGGAAAAAATGGTGGTTGTTCAGTTCTGGTCCCTGAAGATATTCCTCCTGTCCTCACGGGAATCAGGTGACCTGTTCTGTGAACCTTCCATCTGGGGTCACGCGTGAGGCTCACTGTCCTGAAGGCCAGCCGGCCGGCCAGCCGGAGGCCCTTCCCAGCATAGTCGGTGTTTGTTTTGGAAAAAGTGAATCCGAGGCCAGCTGCTTGGGAGATAGAGGCACACCCACTGCCTCTCCCTGAGGCCTGCCCTCGCTGCCTCCGTTCGTTAGGTGGCCCTCTCACCGGGGAGGCCAGCCGCCAATAATGGCAAAGCCGGTGCCTCCGGAGCCTTGGTGCTGGAGAGGAAAAGTGAGAGAAGCCATCTCTACATTCACATTTCTCTCCCTCCCTGCCCCTTTAGCATCTTTCACGTTCTCTATCAACATATCCCCCTTCTTTAGTTTGGGAAATAGCATACACGCCACCCCAACACCGAAAGTCCAAACTGGAGGAGCCGCTCCCCTGCGCCCCATTGAGGGGCCGCGAGTCGGCGTCTTCCTGCTGGGGTGCTGCCCGGGCACAGGCCGCCAGCCCCTCGGTCTGCCCGCCGCCCCAGCGCAGCCCGGGCATGGCCTGCCCGGCCGGTCACAGGCAGCACTGAGGCTCCCGGTCTGTGCCCACGGCAGAACGGCTCTCGCTGGACGGGAAGCGGGTGGTTTCACTTCACGCCCTGCAGTTCCCATGGCGGGTTCCCGTCATTCCCTGTGTCCTCGGGACGTCCCGCCCCACTGGTCCTCGGTTTCGGTGGCTCTTCTTTTCGGGGTGACGTGTTGGGGTCTGTTACACACCGAACGGCAGTCTCACCCTGGCCTCTGAGACAGTTCTGGCGTCTGAACAAAATGCCTTTGTGTTTGGAGCAGCGCACACGGCCGGGGGTTTTCTGTTTGTCTCCGGCGTTTCCCCCTTCGCCGGGTCAGGGTCCAGGGGGCTGGCCACCCGGGCTTCTTTCCCTCCCAGGAGGGTTGCATCAACAACGTTCATTGTATTTATGTCTGTAAATAGGTTTTAAGCTTCCTTATAAAATACTGTTAATACGATAACGTTTTCCAATTCTGTGTGTGCTTCTGAGGACGTTTCCTTATGTTTGCTCAATATACTGTAGACAAAAGTGCTTCTCTCTCCTTTGTTTATTTTAGACTTTAAGACAAACTGCTTCTTATCCACTTTTATAAAGAGCTAATCGCATGGTTCCAATTTTTTTTTTTTAAGTTCACTTTTGTTTGAAGGAAAATGAATGTGCAAAAAAAAGAAAAAAGAAAGAAGTGCGGGTTCTGTGCGCTGTGTGGATGTGTAACCTCATGGGAAATAAACTTTCAACCCAGCGGCGGCGGCGGCTCTTGAAACAGCGGCCACCCAGGCGTCTTCGGCGGCGGCCGCTCTGCGGGCGGGTTCCGCACTGGGGGCTCCTTCTCTCCGGCTCACAGACACCCCGTCCTGAGGGGCATGAGGCCTGAGGGGCCAGGAGGCTTCACCCAGGCCCTCTCCACGGAGTTTCCAGCGGTGCAGGAGGGCGGGCCAGGGGCCTGGCTCCCACACGATCAGAGTGGCCCCTTCCATCTGCCAGAGCAGCCCTAGACCCAGCCCTGGTGCCCAGCCTCGTGTCCAGCCCTGGTGCCCAGCCTCATGCCCAACCCTCGTGTCCAGCCTCATGCCCAGCCCTGGTGTCCAGCCCTCATGCCCAGCCCTTGTGCCCAGCTTCATGCCTAGCCTGATGCCCAGCCCTCGTGCCCAGCTCTGCAGGGTGTCCCAGTGTCTGGACTGCACTGCCCAGGAACCTCGGAGCCTCCCTCTGTCCCAGGTCCTCTGGGAGCCCTGTGACCACAGTGAGAGCGGGCAAGCAGTGTGGCCAGTGCCTGTGCCCTATCCCCTCAGCCCCATCTTTCTCTGCCGTGCGGGGCTAGGCCAAAGGAAGCCACGCAGCACTCAGCCCCGGGCCTGGGGCAGCCCTCATACTGATGGAGGGGGCGGGGGTTCAGGAAGTCCTTCCCTCCCCTCCACCTGCAAATGACATCAGTGTTTCCGCCCCCAGACCTGTGCCCCCCACGTCACTGCTCAGCCAAGAACCGCGGTCTGATGCTCCTTCCCAGTCCGTGTCCCCAGTGCCTCGTGGCCTTAGACGTGGCCACAGAGGATGCCGGGAACGGAAATGGGCGGGAAGAGCAAAAACTGGGGACGTGGACGTGATGGCTGATGAGCGAGGTGGGAAGCGGGGGGAGGACCGGTCACCTGGGTCAGGAAGGAGGCCGGGGGAGGGGGCGGCCGAGAATGTGACCCCAGGGGTCAGACTGCCCCAGGGCGGGGAGAGGGGCTTCCCCAGATTTGTTTGTCACACAAGGGAACAAGGGGAACTAGTGCCCTCCTTCTTCTCAACTGGGAAGTGAGACAGTTTCCAGTGACGGCACCTGGATGAGTTCACGCGTGTCAGACACGTTAGAGCTCGGCACATGACACATGCTAAGTGCATGCCAAATGCACACGGTGGGGCCACACGTCGAAAATGGAAACCCTGCCACATGCTCTCACATACATGTGGAATCTAATGAACAGAATAACGTCACAAAGTAGAAACAGACTCACAGAGAGCAGATGGGCAGTGGGCAGAGGGGAGGGAGTTTGGGGCTGGGTGAAAAAGGTGGAGGGATTAAGCAAAAAGACCACATATATATCCTACCTAATAAGGAGGGAATATGCTAATTGACTGCCTTGCCCTCAAAGATGGCGGCGCCCACAGCCACAGAGGGTGGCACCCAGTCCCCTCAGCCCTGCTGGTGCAGCAGGCAGGCAGCAAGTCCTCATGCCTGCCTCTGGAGTCCCCCAGTCCCCTCAGCC